AAAAAAAAAAAAAAAAAAAAACAAAAACTTTTACCGTTAGTGTATGGACAGAAACAATTAGTACATTTCAAAAATACTTCTGAATTCTCAAAAGTTACATAAGTACCCTTTAACCTTCCAAAAAAGGGTTAAAAATTTCATTGCTCTTAGCACATGGACAGAAACTGTTTATCTAGCACATCACCTCCCCCTTCCATTTCCTTTCTCTCCTCTATTTCATTTTATGGCCTAATACTTCCTTATGTCTCTTTTTCTTTTTTTATTTTTCCTCTCTTCTTCAATAAGCTCTTACTCTATTCCTTCCATTCTCCAATCTCTAAATTTACCCTTTTCAATTAAGGTACATAGGTTATGGCAAGAAGAAAGAGAATAATGGAACCACCAAGGGACTTTAGAGCTTAAATGTTTTAACAAGATTGTATGTTAGTAGAGAAGTGTGTGTTAATACGTCGTTTGTGTTTATACACATAAAAAGAGACGCGTTGAGAGTTTTGGTCAAAATTTTGAGGACAACCCATAGGAGGTTAAAGAAAGAAAATATGTACATTACCAAATTTGTAGTGATGAAGAAATTATTGATCCTTTTTGGAGTTCATATTAGTCTATTTGTTGGGATCAGTTAAAAAGGTTCCCCATGATTGAAAATGATATTCCCTTCTCAACCTTTTTTTATTCAGTGATTCATCGCTGAGCTTTGAAGAGTGATTTTAATATTAAAGCTTTGTGAGATTTTGTGGAATTTTATGCTTTAACGTAAGTATCTGTGAGGAAAAAGAAAAAGTAGATATCTATTATGACTTAGTTTTCAAATTGATTATTTCCCAACTCAAGATAACTTCAAAGAAATTTATCATACGGATGACAAGAGCTTTTTAAAATAAATAAAATAAAATAAAAAGGTTAAAGGGCATTAATGCAACTTTTGAAAGTTCACATTTCTGTTAATATATTAACAGTAAGGGTATTTTTAACTTTTTTCGAAAATTTAAGGATATTATTGAAATTTTGAAAGTTTAGACGTATTTTTTAAATAAAATACTAACGGTTTATATCCAAAACTAATGGTAAGGGTATTATTGAAACTTTTGAAGGTTAGGGGATATTTTTTAAACAAAGTAACTTAGCCTAATCAACCTAATGGTGTTGATATTCAATAATCTTTAGGAGGTGATTGCAGTTCAAGCCTTTCAGTAATAAAGCAACTCAATGACAGATGAAGAGGTGTCTAAACCCCAGATATTGCCATCAAAATTTTACGTTTCCCAACATATGGATAAAAAAGATAGAACACAATGGGATAACCAGTAATGTCTAGGCGCAAAATCATGCATTTAATAAAAAGAATCAGCAAACAAATCCAAGGCCAATAGCAGAGGGGGACAAGGAAGATATTGTTATCCCACCTGAACTTATAAAACTAAAAATAAACAAATGGATACTGAATATTAAATATTGTCTAGAAGTTGTCTTCGACAGACTCTTCTCATCTTATGGACAGAATGATCTCAAAGACATATTTGAAAGAATGTTGGCTAGTTTAATGGAAGAAATTAAGCTCTTAAATGAGGAAAATGTTTCGATTACCATGGATAAATTGTGAACCTAGAGCATAAAAATCAACCTATGGTGGCAAGGCAAAGAAAGTTGGCTAGTCAGGCTTGTATTTCTAAAAACCAAAGAATCAAAGTAGGTAATCTTATTGATTCTGGAGAACAGTTCATTAAGTGCACGTTTAAATTTCATCAAATCCTCCACTCAAGAAACTAATACCTTCATACGTTGAGGTCATTTTTATATGATTGATGACCAGATGTGGGTACTTTGGGCTGGAAAATGCTATTATTTCAGTACTAATAGTCACAATGGTTGTGTTGTATGATTTTAAAAAAATTCAGGCTTATGGCATGAGTTTGGGCACTTTTTTATCTAATCGGGTTGTTGAGACAGGTGCAAATTGGCCCAACATTTCATGATATCCAAAAGAAGAACAAAACAATCATATAGATGGAGTTAGACATTCTGTGACATGATTTTGGAAGTTTTTTGGTTGAACTGAATGCATTTTATAAATTACCTTCAAGCAATTTTAAATACGTCTAAGAAGTATTAATTTCAAAGCCTATTCGAGTACAGGGTTAAATCATTGAAAGTTTCTAAACCAAATACGAGACAAAACTGAAGTTCGTAAATTCACATAGACGCACTCTAAATCAAAGAGAAAAGCATTAGAATCTCCAAATCAACCAACCAAAAGTATGAACATCAACCAGATGGAAAAGTTTGTAAGAAGAGGATGATAATTTCGTTACCTAATGCTTTTCCCCCCTATACACAACACCGAACCAGCGAAACAAAACGGGAAAACACAAATTTCGTAATTCCACCAAGTCCAGCGAAATGAAGAATCTGCACACAATAAATGAACGTTGGAACCGGAGAAAAATCGAATAACAAGAAATCCAATAAAGAACATCAAACAGAAGTATTGATCATACAAATTATGATGAACAAAAGTTACAAATCACATTCTCAAGCGACGAGCAAAGAAACCAAGACGGAGAATTTCACAAAGGAAGGTTGAAATGATGGGCAAAAGCGAAATAAAACCGAACGGCTATGACCAGAGACAGTACCTGGAGCCGCAGGCGGGGAGATGAAAAAATTGAAAACAACTTTTTGGGGCCAGTAAGGTTCGAACTCTCGACCTAAACTAACTCTAAGACTATGAGCTTGAGATTTTTTTATTTTATTTTATTTTATTTTATTTTATTTTATTTAACTTTCATATTTAAAAAAAAAAAAGAAATATACGTCAATTATTATTTAACTACTTTGTGAGACTATTTGTGTGCCAGTAGTCGTGTTGAGTTCGAGGATCTTACCATATAAAATAGTTATGATGTTGGTAATAGAAAATTAATGAAAAACTAATTTAATTTTTTAAAATGAAATTACAATTAGTGATGTACATTCAACTCAACAACACGATAACTTCGACCAACTCAAACTGAACTATAAGGGTTGAGTTCATTTTTCTGAACCCGAACTAAATCGGTTCGGTTTCGGGTTCGTAAATAAAACCTTCGGATTGACCCGAGCTAAATAAAAATATATATAAGGACACCCACGCTCGAGTTTGACGCCACGGATATATATATTTTTATTATTATTTTATTTAATTTCTTTTATATTATTTATATTTGGTTTAATTTCTTTTATATTATTTTATTGTTTTTAATTTCTTATTTTGTTCAGCTTAGGTTCTCTTATTCTAATTTTTTTTTATTATATACTATTTCTTTAAATTAATCATTTTTATTGTTTATTTAATTTGATAATCGATTCTTCTATTTTTTCTTACTTCAACTAATTCTTAAGAAATGTCGTATTTAGCTATTTTAGTTTTATGACAATGTTGAACTATGTTAATATGTTATAATTTTTGTTGGTTGTTTATTTAATTTGATGATCTATTCTTATATTTTTTCTTACTTCAACTAATTCATAAGAAATGTCGTATTTATCTATCTTTAGTTTTATGACAATGTTGAACAATATTAATATGTTACAATTTTTGCTGGTTGTTTTTTATTGATTTTTTTATGTGAATAATTATAGATTGAATTTGTGTTTGTGGAAAATAAAACTCTAAAAAAAAATTTGACAACTCGACAACCCAACCCGAAAATAGAGGGTTGGATTGTGAAAATTTTCGGGTTGGGTTGGGTTGGGTTATCAATCCAACTAATCAAAACTTTCCATTGGGTCAAAAAAATCTCTCAACCCAACCCAACCCAACCCAGAACATGTACACCCCTAATTACAACAATGATAAAAATAAAATAAAAAAGGAGTGGTTCGGGTAAAAGTATAAATTTTGAAACCTAAAGATCAAATAGAATTAGAATCAAAATTTAGGAGTAAAAGGTAATATTTTTTAAACCTATGGATCAAATGAAAACTATACACAAAATCTATAGACAAAAAGAGTATTTTTTTTTTTCTGTAAAAAAAAATGTTAAGATATGTTTTTTAGTTTGTCGATTACAAATCGATGAAGTTACTGCTTCGAGTAAAGATAAAATTTTCGATGATGGTGAACCTTTGAAGAGATGCCTGTGGTGATCTAGGGATTGGCAATCAGTCTTCCCAGTAAGAGAATAATTTTCTTCTCTTATCTCTCGAGTTTATTATAAGAGTCGACGTTTTCAAAAAATGGTAACAGAACTGGAATAAAAAATGGCAATAGGAAGAATTATAGTCAATGAAGTATTCAAAAAGAAAAATGTAAGATTTGTGAATTTTTTTTTGAAAGATAATATATTTAAGTTGAGAGAAATGGAAAGAAAACTTTAACAAATACAAGAATGCTTTATTGCTTGTTTATCAAGTTGTTATAAATGAATCATTAAAAGAATTTCGACACCTATTTCTGCAAACACAACTTGTAAAGTAATATCGGTTTAGGTTTAGAATTTAATTCATTGATTCAATCGACTCTAAAGTGAAAGAGACGACTTGTCAAGTAATATCGATTTAGGTTTAGAATTTAATTCATTGATTCAATCGTCTCTAAAGTGAAGGAGCAAAGAATCTTGACTAACAGTTTAAGAGAAATACCAAGGATGATAAAGGATAACTAAGTCTATAGCTCACAACGAGCCCTTATTAGTTTAGTAAAGTTAAACTAAAAAAAAAACGAGAGATTAACTTGCGGTGCACTACATCCACCAACTCACCAAGCAATTTCTTTGTGCATCTTCCCCGACTTAATCGAGGTGGGATATTTTACGATTCATCTATTAAAGATGGCAAGACTACAAGATCTCTTATCTGAATTTGATTCCATCGAGATGAAAGAAACTCGACTTTTAAGCATATTGTTGTTGCCATTGAAGAATAGAAAAGACTTATCTATATGTTATGAAAATAGCTTAATGAATGATCTTCGATCTCATGAGCTTACTTGCTTTATTTTATTTTAGGGTGTGTACGAAACATAGTCAAGTTAAGTGAGAGTACATAAAGCAGGAAAGCAATTGATTGAAGTTAATATAACCCAGCCCTTCTTCTAACCACATGACTCAATGTAACAATCAGCCAAAGCCCTTTGACGAACAAAACATTAGAAATTGAACCTCTCCTTTAATCGATTTTGCTAGTATCACGACAAGACAGAACATTTTTTTTACCAAAAATTAGCTTGCTCTTGACAGACCAAAAGACATTAGAAATACAACTTTAAACAGACACCCGTCATGGAAATTAGATTATCGACTCGACGCATCAGATCTCAACAAGTTTCAATTGCTAGGATACTTACTTCCATGGCATGCCGGACATTGTCTGTGGATGGATGCTGTTGTTGCAGGCTCCTGAGCTGTTGTTGAGGGGGCTGCCAGGTCCGCCACCAGAAGACTCGCTCAGCGTCCCGTGCGATGGACTACTGGCTCCTCCGGTCAAGTAACCAAAGGCGACTTGGTTTAGCATTGGCGAGGCTGTTGTGGGTTCAGTTTGGCGGGCTGGCTTTGGTTCCTTGTTGCTGTCGACTATGAAACTTCCCACTACCACCTGTATAATTGATCACAAAAGGGAGAAACAGTATCAAGTGAAATGTCGTAAAATCGGACATCGCAATCAGAAACAGCCAAAATTTTCTGTGTAGTATAGCAATCAGATCAGTTAGCTGACCGTTTTTCTAATTGGTTATTGTAGAAGTGAAGTTAAACAATTTTTTTTTTTCCATTCGAAGTTCTTCTGGAAGTAAATTGTGAGAACCCACATCGATTGGGGAGGAGAACGAAACACCCTTTATAAGGGTGTAGAAACCTCTCCCTCGCAGAGACATTTTAAGAACCTTCAAGGAAAGTCCGAAAGGGAAAGTCCAAAGAGGACAATATCTACTAGCGGTGAGCTTGAGCCGTTACAAACGATATCAAAACCAGACACTGGACAATGTGTCAGTGAGAAGGTCGAGCTCCTAAGGGGGTGGACATGAGACGATGTGCCAACAAGGATGCTGGGCCCTGAAGAGGGGTAGATTTTGGTGGGGATCCCACATCGATTGGAGAAATGAATAAGTGTCAGCAAGGACGCGGGCCCCAAAGGGAGCCATATCGGTGGGGGAGGAGAACGTTGGAAACCTCTACCTAGCAGATGCATTTTAAAAATCTTGAGAATAAAACCAAAGAGGACAATATCGGCGAGTGGTGGGCTTGAACCATTACATAAAGTCCATGGAGATTCTGTCTATGGTATATGGGCAAAAAGCTAATTCACCTGAACAGGAGATGAAGCTGTAAGAAGACCCGCGACGCCACCACCTAAAACTCGGCCATCTGGACCGGACAAAGACACACTCAAACCACCAGCTCTGCTTCTCTGACCACCATTGTCGGAGAGGAGAAATGAACCTGAAAGTGACAAAATTTCAAACCGCCCCTGCATGGAGACAAATACAGAGCATCATAAAGTTGTACTTAAGTAAAACAATTATCCTTAAACCAATGTAAATAATATCAAACACACAGTTTATCTCTATTAGAACTATATACGAGGCAAAAAATCAGAAACCTCATAAGTAACAGTTCCACCAGATGTAGCAGGTTGACGTAAAGTCACATTTGATATTGCTCCATTTGCTGAAAGGATACAAATAGCCCTGGGGCCATTCTGAGAAAAGGACATTATTTTTGACGATATATCCTGTAAAACCATGTGCAAATCAAATTATTGTTGCTTGGTCAGCAAAGGGGCAGTAAAAATGAAATGAAAGCACAGTGCATATGAAAATCTACATTCCTCTCTCTCTCTCTCTCTCTCTCTCTCTCTCTCTACTTCTTCTAATTACTATTACTATTATTGTTTTGTTAGGGGGAGTGGGTGATTTCATAAATGCACATATCTCGCCGAAGGTTGCAGCAAGATCTTAAGGCCATCTACCACAAAATCAATGTACAGATCTTATAAAGAGTGTTAATATATCCATTCCAAAAAAAAAAAAAAGATAATCTTGGTAAGAAACAGAACTCTTGGATGGAGTATAGAACGAAAAAACCCATTAGATAATGAACTATTGGTTCTAAGCTATCTCTAGCGATGAATCAACAATCTAAAGTGTTTTTCTTGCATATTCTTGATACCAATGTTTATATAGAGACATAGGAGGATCTATTTGGGAAGTAAACAGTCCCTTCAAGGATAATCTTTATAAAAAAAAAAGGACCCCTAAATGTCACCCACGCATCCAAAATACATTCAAGGTAACAATAATCTACAGTTATTATTTGACAATTGAATATGCAAGAACAAGTATTGTTTAATCATTCAAGATGCTAATAACATTGGTGAAAGAATTTAAAATTAGAACCTCTCCAGCTTTCACATCGATAACATGTGGAGTGAATCCAAAACCAGCCGGTCCTGCAATTGATTCCTCTATAAGAAACTCAGTTTTCAATAAAGCTATAAGATAAAATACTTATCACACAATGGTTTAGAATATAAACAATAGCATTTCTTGGACCCTAAAAGTCAACCAAAGTGAGATTCCCCACCTTTTTCTCCTGTTTCTGTGTTGTTCTTACAGTTAACACTACGATTCCTATCTTGCACAGAAAAAGAACACAAAAAAAGGCAAGGGAAAGAACTGTACTAGACAAGTAGACAATCTCTATGCCACCAGAAAAGGTATGTTTGATTAGCTAATGATTCAACATAGGATGCAGTTCTTAACAATATCTAGTTTTCCATGACAAATTGATCAAAATCAAGAAGGGAAGAGAAATAACAACTAAGATTCATAGTTTCAAATGCAAGACAAGAAAGTGCAAATATTTAATCCAATCTAGCTAGCCAACTCGAAACTGCGTCAATCAATGATATTAAAGCTAAAAGCATAAGAAATTAGGCAGTCAAGTCAAGCACAAAATCCAGAGACCCAACTGGATCTCACCAAGGAAGAGGAGTATTGGACAAGGCGCTTATAATAGTTACCCAAAGCTTCCAATTGTCGCTTTTTCTTAGAACCAGATGGCCTGCCTTTACTTTTTTTCAATGAATTTGGTGAGCCCAATCCTCCTTCAGAAGCTCCACTTCTTGATGGCTGCCCAGAACCCAAAGCTAATGCCATGGAGCCATCTGGTCCATACTTCCTTGGCCTTCCCCTCTTCCTCTTTATTTGCTCACTGCCCACCGAGTTTATATTCAAATCATGAGGCAGTATCGACCCTCCACCAGCCGATCCCTCCTTACCGGCATTACCAGAAACTCCGGCCATGGAGGATTGGTAGGACGGTAAAGTTGAAGGAGTCGGAGTCGGAGTCGGAGTCGGAGTCACAGTCACAGGCTTGTAGACGGCTGTGCCATCGGCACTGAAGGATAATCGCATATTTTGGGCCGCCGGCTGCGACTGTAACGAACTATTTTGAACGGCGACATTGAAGGATTCTCTACTGGTCATCACACCAGCTTCAGATCCCGACATTTTTCTTCTCTCTTTTCCCCTACAGCTTGAATCAAAACTCTATCTAAAGCCTGGAAATCAAAACTGCAAATACGCGAAGAAAATCTACGTGATTTTGAATCTTGATCTCGATTATCAGCCATAATGTCTAGTCCGATCAAATTCAGAAGCGCAGTAGGAAACAAGATCTAACACACTAATGCAGAGATTTCGAAATGTATTTAGTACGTAAACAACTTAATCAAACGAAGATCGAACAAAAACAAAACCTAGAAGACGATTAATGACTTTGTAAACGTGAATTAAAAGAAACCCTAATACCAAAACTCCAACAGTTGGTCAAATTTCGAAACAAAAAATCCAACGAAATCCCAAGAACATTTTGGCTAATATACAGAACAGATCATGCAAACATGAGAAAATTAAATCCTAATAATAGAAAGTAAAAAATGAAAATTGAAGAAAAAAAAATGAATTTTTTTATTTTATTAATGAAAAAAATTGAAGAAAAATGGAGAAAAAAAAAGGGGGAAATTACCAAAAACTTACCAGAAAAATAGGGAAAATAGCGGAGAGTGATAATGAGAAGAGAGAAAAATTAGGGGTTTGGAAGGGAAAACGAAGGGTTAGTTCAAAAAGGGATTTTTGGAAAAATATTAAATATATTTTTTAATTATGTAATGATTTGTGGTTTTAATTATTAAATATTTATTTTAATAATTAGGGATTACTTTTCTTTTACGGCTGATAATATAAAATAAAATAAAAAGAAAAAGAAAAAGAAAAAAAGGAGCAGGTAAAAAGTGCAATACAGGCGTCGTGTATTTCAAACTGTAGTTGGGAAGGTGGGACCCATTAATGATTTTTTTTTTTTTTTTTTTAATTTAGTCTCAAAATTATTATTTTTCATGAAATTAGTAGAAAATAAAAAATACATCTGAATTTTACGTTTAATTTTTTAAAAATGCTTCTAATTTTTTAGAACTTGAACTAATTATTTTCTTTTTTTTTAATCATAAATTATATTAAACTCACTTTAAATTATTAATTTTTTAAAGATAATTAAAAATTTTGATTGGATTTCAACTTGATTTTTAATATATAATAAAATCACTTTTTAAAATAAATTATTGTTTAAAATCTATAAATCACATGCTATATATATATATATATATATATATATAAACTAAAATTTTCATTTAAATTATGGTCGAGCTACTTTCATATCATACTTCTCTTTCGCCCACTTTTCGATTTTCTCCATACGAGCAATGTGTATACTCATTTGTCTTAGACTACGTTTACCATCTTAGAGTGATAGTGAGAACGTTTTTGCCTCATACAGTAACAGCTCAAGCCCACTGCTAATAGATATTGTCTGCTTTGACCCATTACGTATTGCGTCAGTCTCACTCTTTTAAAACGTTTCAGCTTGGGAAAAGTTGGAATGTTTTGTTCTATTCTCCAACCAACGTGAGATCTCACATCCACGAACATCTCCCAACTAATTTGGAATTTAATAATCTTCGATGTGTTCAATGTCATGTCAGTAGGCATCTTGAAATTTGTTCTATTTTCTCGATCCTCTTGGAAAATATACATTAAATTATTATAATTTCAACTCTATTTGTAAAAATAAAAAATGTATTACTATACACTTTGGTGAAATATAGTTTAATCATACTAGAACCTCGGTATATTTAAACTCCTTGTTCGAGTCGAAATCGCTGCAAAATGGTCCCAACATCTTTTGCGATGGTTGTATACGTATTCTTGTGGCTTTGCATCTAATAATCTATCTGGGTGTCGCTTTGATATCACAACCTAGTACTTTCTCATTCATTGGCCACTCCCGTTGTTGCAAATAACCGAGTTGGAACATCTCGTTATCTAATTACCATGCACCCCTTAACTTAAGTCGCTACACACTTGACGAGTTTCACATCCTCAACATTCATCTATATGTGTGTTTATGATTTGTTTAACATTACCAACATTCAACGAACAAAATATCTATGTTGTTTGCCTAGGGTTTCAGAAGAATGAAAGATAAGAGAGAACGAACCCAGAACTCGGGAGTAAGGTGGCTAAGTGAAAGCGTCGTGCATGAGAGAGAGAAAACCATGACCTAGAGGTTAGAGTTGAGGAAAAATGGAGAAGAGAGAGCATGTATCTCGAGTGAACGATCGAAAATTGAAACAACGTGCATGAGAGCAAAGAAATGAAGTACTATAGAACTAGTTTTTCACTTCCGAGTAATCGTGAGCCAAATAGTAGGAGTGAATATGGGTCGGTGACATAAACAACCTGAATAGAGTTCTGTTTATTATATTAATAACTAAAATTTTATAGAGTTCAAATATTAAACATTTAACAGTCACTAACACATTACTGATATCCATTACAAACCTTCGATACTGTCATCAGTAGGGTAAAACTAACCTGTCTCACGACGGTTTAAACCCAGCTCATATTCTCTATCGGTGGACGAACAATCCAACACTTGGTAAATTCTACTTCACAATGATAGGAAGAGCCGACATAGAAGGATAAAAAAACAACGTCGCTATGAACGCTTGGCTGCCACAAGCCAGTTATCTATGTGGTAACTTTTCTGACACCTCTAGCCTCGAATTCGGAAGGTCTAAAGAATCAATAGGCCATGCTTTCACGGGTACATTTTAATCCATTTAAAAGTAAGGTAAGATCGGGTTGTAACCCTATTTTTAGTACCAACCAATGGAACAAAATATTTAATTTTTTTTTTTTTTTTTTTTTGTTATTAGAAAATAAACATGAAAAACCGCTTCAAATAAATAGAAAACAAATTGGAAGAGGAAAAGTGTCACACATTGAACAAATAAAATCCATATCTAATCCCTGCAGTGGACTAAAAGCATGGCGTCCCTTCCTTCACCCAGCGCTGTAATCCAGCGCCCTCGCTCATGGCGCTTCACACCATCATCACTCTCCAATGGTAATCTTCCTCGCATTTCACTTCATGCGCCATTGTTAACTCTTATCATCTTCCTTCTTGACATTTCAGGAATCGCCATTCCTATCCGCACAAGGCTCCGTGTTTTCTGCTCTGGCAAGAACATCGACATTCCCGATCAAAAACCCTGGTAAATTGGCCTCTCTTTCTCTTTGCTTGTTATCCATTTCAATTCTATTGTTGCCTCGTTGGAGTCCGTAAATTCAAATGCTCGTTCCTTCTGTTGGTTCTTAGTTGTTGGACTAGCGGAGTTAATAGACGAGAAATTGGGCTAGGAATGGGATTGACTGCGTTTTCTTTCCAAGAAGTTGTTTCTATTGCCCTAGCCGAGAATGGTACCGATTTTACCTTCTTCTCACGAGCGTGTTCTCTGAAATTACATTATCCCTCTTTGGTATTGTTTTTATTTGAAGATTGAATGCGTTCAGTTTACGGGTGATAGTTGTTGCTGAGGATTATCGGACGTACACGGATGAAGCGAATAAGTTCAGATTGGTGATTCCTCAAGGTGTATGGCTTGGCTCCATTGGCTGAGCTTTTTGTCTTGAGAATTAGAGATTAAACTGTATTAATTACTTGAACTTGTGTGATTTATGCAGATTGGCAAGTCGGTAATGGTGAACCGAATGGATTCAAGTTGGTTACGGCTTTTTTTCCTAAAGAAACTTTGAGTTCCAATGGTATTGTTAGATCTTTTCTCCTTTTCTCTCCCTCGGTTCGATTTTGAATAGCTTGATCGACTGAAATTTGGTTCAGTCAGTGTTGTAATCTCGGGGCTTGGTCCTGATTTCACGAGAATGGAATCCTTTGGCAAGGTTGAAGAATTTGCTGATACCCTGGTATGACTGTCATATCAATTAGCAGTTCTTGAAATGAAAAACTGGATTTCATTTTGCTGTTTTTGAACCTAACAAGGAACCCAAAACTGGTTCTCTTTTCTTGAAGTTTCTTAAATAGAAAACGACAGCCAAAATTGAAAGCCAAAATGGGGTCTCTTTCTTTGCAGTCTTGAATGGAAATAGATAGCCTAAATCTGGATTTTCCTCTTCTCTTGATATCTCTTTCAGGTGAGCGGACTGGACAGAAGCTGGAAAAGACCACCAGGTGTGGCGGCGAAACTTATAGACTGTAGATCATCTAAAGGTATGTGGCACATGTACAACCAGTTAACTCAGAATCTTAGCTGAAATGAAACTTAAAAGGAAAATTGTTTACAAAGCATTGTAAACATGGAACTTACTTAAAGAACTATGCCCACCACAGGTTGTTTTATTCTATTAGGTGTGAATGAAGTTCGGTTAGTAGTTGAAGGGAGAGATTCATGGTATATTAAGAAACCAAAAGCAGAGCCATGAAAAGTTATAGATAATATCAATTTAACGTAGAGATATATGGAGGGTCGATTATCATTATGTTATTCTATTGTTTTATTATATAACTGAAAAAGGGAGAGATTCATTGTAGATAATATCATATTAATGTAGAGGATTTATTATTATCTTGTTCTATCATTTTTATCATATATCAGTTCCTTATGAGTCTACTATGTCTTCCTTACTTTAGTATGGTTCTAAAATTACATAGGCTTCTCGTAAAAACACAATGAAGTTTGATTTGAAAGAAAAAATCGCAGGGATATATTACATAGAGTACACGCTGCAGAATCCAGGTGAAGGCCGCAACCATTTATACTCTGCAATTGGGATGGCATCCAATGGTTGGTACAACAGACTTTACACTGTAACAGGACAGGTAGGTTGCTCCTAATCTCTATCAATGCACTTACTTGTTCGGATACGTTTAAGTAACTTGATCTAAAAATCGCTCTAGTTCTTGCTATCAATTATCAATCATTCGACAAAAATTATTGAAATATCTTATATCTTTCTAGGAGAGACTTAAATATTATCTAGTATTAGAACACTTTTACTAAATATATCCCAGAGTCTTTAATATTTAAGATAACTAAATCCATTTCTTTCATGTAAAATCTTCAAATAGCACTAGATTGTGTCCTAGTATGTTATTTAAACAATAATTTGATGCAAGTATGTTATTTAAACAATAATTTGATGATACTATCTATTTTAGGATAACAAATTTGAATATTTTCTTGTGGAATGACTTAATTGAAACCATAATACATTAGGGATAAACTCGAGAATGTTAAAAGATTTAAAGATTCTAACAAAAATATATAATATATATTTTGTTGATTTATTCCATTTGTAATTTTATGGAGATAGATATCATATTTAAAGTCTCACGTAGAAAGATGTAAGATATTTGACTAGTTTTTGTCGAATTGATTGATAATTGATAGCTAGAATTAAAACTATTTTTAGATGAGTTACTAAAGCGATACATTTAGAAGTTGAATGACTAAAAAAACCGAAACTCAACCGATATAAAAATTAGGAACGAAAATAAGAGGGTAGGAAATCTTTGTTTTGGTTTGATAATTGGTTTGATGTGTTGTACAGTATGGAGATGAAGATTCAGAGAAGTTTAGTTCCGAAATTAAGAAGGTTAGTGGGAGAGATATCCCGAGCTCGTGCTCTTAATTTTCATATAAGCTATTCTAAAAGTTTCTCTGAACGTTGGCTTTGTAGGTTGTCAATTCCTTCACTTTCATTTGATGATCCCACAGAACTGGCTTCCACTACAGTTATGTGGTTCAAGTTTTCCCTCTTTGCTTCTCTTAATATTTACTTTAAAATAAAAAGTAGAAAATATCGATGAATATTTTTTTAATCTATTGTATAAATAAAAAATTTATTAACTAATAAACCTATCACATTTTTTTATAAAAATAAATAAATATTAACTTTGAATTATTTATATTCAGTAATAGATTTTTAAGAGAAAAATAAATTACTGTTCTCTAAAATTTGATTTAATCTTGTTTTTTTCTTAATAATTTTTCCCCTGCTTTCAACTTTTTATTATGAAAGGTTGTTGGGATAATTTTTTTTTAATATTTTTTTGATGATTAATTTCATTTTTTTTTTTTTTTTGTTAATAATAAAATATAAAAAATAAAAAATTATATTTATCTCCCCCTCTTGTTTCTCTCTCCTCCCCCCACCCATCACTCCACTAAGTGATCTACATATTAGAAAATTGTCGAGCATGAAAGATGGATGGAAGTATAAATTCTCATGATTTTGCTTTGAACTTTACCAAAAGGCTTCATACCAATGTAAATATATTCATTTATTTATAAACCCATGATCATTCCCTAAATTAGTGAATCTGAGACTCACTCCCAATAATTCTCAACAATTCTTCCCTCAAACAAATTACACTATAAGCCTCTCTTGAGGCTTATGAAGCTCTCGAATAACCTTCCCTTTATTGAGCCTCGACTGCTTTCTCTACACTTTAGTCACTTTTTTACTACACCTTTGAGGTACACAATCTTTGTTTGATATTTGAGGATTATATTGACATGGCTAAGTTTAGGGCATAACTCTAATACTATGTTAGGAACTGAGAGGGAAAAGGGGAAAGATCAGAAGAATTAGGAGATATCTCACCTTATATTAAAGAATGAAATTGGTTATTATATAACGAGTCCATGGAAATTTGATGTATTTTAATTCTTTTTAGTTTATAAATTTTTAAAATGGATATGTTTGGTTCAATCCATCGTTTTTCCAAACACTAAACCAAACCAAATCGAGTCGTGCACATCAATATGTTTGAATAGTTGTCCCATTTTTTTTCGAATTAGCCTATCATCATTAAAACTCTATTTTTTAAATTTATTATTAGCCTTCCTTCAATTGTTATCAATAGTTTTTTAAGACAATATTTAAAATTATTTATTAGTGGGTCACTCTATGTTATCATTTAAAATGTTATTTAATTCTTGTTTTCTTTTCTAAATTTAAAATATTAACTAAAATATAGTATCTAACAATTATTTCATAAAGAATTTGACTTTATTCTCCTATTTAACCATTTTTAATGTTATTTCATTTCACATGCCTATCAAATAGCCTTTATTTAAGAAAAAAAAAATGATTGGTTGAGTTAGTTGGGTTGGTGATCTAGGTGACTGAGTAAAGTTTACAATCCAACTCATTTTTATGTCGGCTTGGATTGCAGGTCGTTCATTTTATTTAATTATTTTAAAAAATCATTTATTCACTTACCTTAATAACTAAAATTTCATAAAATAACAATTCCAGAGTGAACCATATTTTTAAATTGGTTGGGTTCACGTGAACATGAAGAAAAAAAGTTTCAAATAGTAAATCACTTTTGGTTTTTCAAAAATTTAACTCAACTCAATTTGGAAAAAAAATATAACTCAACTCAATTCGGTTTGGACTTTGAGCTGAACTCAAATTTATGTGTGGAGCTCTATCTTTACTTTGTCGGCCTTCTTTATTCAATTCATTGCATATGTTTTCGACTGAACTTGAAGAAGATTTTGTTCATTCTACCTTAGTTGAAGAAGGAATGAATCATCTCATTCAAAATTCCTCTCCAGAGAATGAATGTTCTCTTTCAGATCTTGGCATTGGTAGAACTTGTCTTTGACATGTATCTAAAAAGTCAAGAAAATCTCGATTGAAGGCAATTGTTTTATAAACAAAACACTCGAAAGCATAAATTCAGTAGTTTCCACCCCTAGTTCAAATTGCTCCAATTATTAAGTCATATAAACACTCATACTTCATATCTCAATTATATCAATACGTTAATATTACTTTCAATACTCACGGTCATTTGAAAATTATTAATGGAAAAAAAAATTGACATTACACATGCCAATCAATCCAAAAATTTAATTTAAGGTTATAAGAAAGGATTATTTATCCTTTTCCAGCTAAGAAGTGTGGGCATTTTCAGATCTACCAGTCCAAGGTTGGTGGCATTTGGTAAAAAATTCATATCTACATGAACTTGCCAGTTTGGCAGCCATTGAAGCTTTCTCCATTTCTTTTCCTTTCTTCCCCACCCGTCGCTGGCAGCTAGATCCACTCATGGGTTTTGAATTATTCGCTAAACAAAACAAGGCGACCCACTCGCCTGCCCGTAACATGCTTCCCATTCTCATCAACAATGCTTTTTGTTGGCTGTAAGAAGTTTTAAATTAACACCCAATATTATATTTACTCCTTTTCATGGGTGCCCAATTGTTTGTTCGCTCACATTGGTGTTTAAATATGTGTGTTCTTGCAGTTCTTTTTATATGCTCATAACCTGTTTGTTAAAATGCCTAGGACACCAGAATATGAGTTAGCTCCATTCTATAGGCACAGTAGGAGATAGGAAGAGTGAGCCATGTTGGAGAGGCAGGGCACATGCTAGATTGTTTACGAGAAAGATGGGAGGTCTTAGCGTGTGCCCTTTTTCTCCAACTTGGATTCTCTTCCTTTTGACAACAACTTTGAAAACTTAAGCTTGCCTCTACTTCTAATAAAGGGTAACTGTGTTCTATTTCTTCTTTGTTTTAACTTGAATACTTTAGCTGGTGTTCGGTTAAGTGTTTATTTCACCTTGATATATCTCATGCTGAAAACCATTGCTTCTCTAGAAGATAGGAAATTGGGGTTTGGTACTGCTTTGTGTTCGTTGGTTGGATTTGCAGTGTAATTGATGACTCATTAGTATAATTGTAATAGTCCAAACCCACCGCTAGTAGATATTGTCTTCTTTGGGCTTTCCCTTTTGGACTTCTTCTCAAGGTTTTTAAAACGCATTTGCTAGGGAGAGGATTACACACACTTATAAAGAATGTCTCGTTTTTCTCCCCAACTGATGTGGGATCTCACAATCCATCCCCCTTTGGGGCCCAGCATCCTCGCTGGCACTCATTCCATTCTCCAATCAACGTGGGATCCCCCAATCCACCCCCCTTCAGGGCCCAGCGTCCTCGCTGTCACTCGTTCCCTTCTCCGATCAATGTGGGAACCCCCAATCCAGCCCCCTTCAGGATTCAACCTCCTCGCTGGCACATCGCTCGGTGTCTGGCTCTAATATCATTTGTAACAGTTCAAGTCCATTGCTAGTAGATATTGTGCTCTTCAGGCTTCCCCTCAAGGTTTTTAAAACACGTATGCTAAGAAGAAGTTTCTACACCTTTAAAAAGAATGTTTCGTTCTCCTCCCCAACCGATGTGGGATCTCACAATCCCCCTTCGGTTCCCGTCATCCTTGCTGACACTCGTTCCCTTTTCCAATTGATGTGGGACCCCCTAATCCACACCCCTTCGGGGCTCAACCTCCTTGTTGGCACATCGCCCAGTGTCTGGTTCTATACCATTTGTAATAGCCCAAACCCACTACTAGCAGATATTGTCCTCTTTGGACTTTCTCTTTCGGGCTTCCCCTCAAGGTTTTTAAAACGCGTCTATTAGGGAGAGGTTTCCACAGCCCTATAAAGAATGTTCCGTTCTCCTCCCCAACCGATGTGGGATCTAACAGTAATAGTCTTCTCACTACATTGTTTGAACTTTGAACACTTCTGATGGGATTTAGTATATGTTTAATTTATCTGCATGCTGAGTTAGAATGTAGAGGACTGAAGTATGTTAACCATCTATACGTTGACCTGTTGTCGATAAGAATGACCAAACTCTTGATAATTTATTGTATCATACAATTTACAGAGTTTGAATTTGCTGTTCTAGATTAACAACGGTCAAATCTATTCTCTAGAACTGATGCAGCAGACTCCACATGTACAAGCAAACAGGAATAGACTTTCTGCTTTATCCTGTCAATGGTTTCCCTTGAGCCATTATCTCCTGAACTCAAATTTCCTTTTAACTTCTCCAACCATTCATTGGCTTGCTTGAGCTGTGATAAGGCAACATCAATATGGTTGCCCGCCTCCGTTTGTTGCCCTGCATTGTTCCGACCATTCTTGTCCTGTTTTCCGACACAAAACCCGGCATCCAATGCTTCCTCCAAGAAATTCAAAAACCATGATGTTGATTCCTTCAGCAAAACATCTCTTAGTAATTTGATCTCCTTTGCACCATCTCCTTTGGCCCATTCTTGTTTTTCACCCTCTCTTAATTCAATAGCTGCCTTTGCAGACTTTGGTGAAGCATTCTTTGACAGGAATAAAGAGGAAACTTTTGTGGACTTATTTGCTTCTGGTAGAGATGGGTTCATAGTCAAAAGAAGTGAGTTTTCCTTCACTGCATCGTTCGAATTCGTTTCGGAGATTAACTGCTGCAGTGTGAAGAATTTGGTGAGAGGGAGTTGGGGATTCTTAGGTGAGGCTGATGAACACAGATCAGCAAACACACTGAAAAAAACATGATGGAAATAAGATTACCTTGTAAGAAATGGTGGACTCAAATTTATATCCTGAAAACTTACCTGAGACATTTGGCCAAGGATGCTGCAGCCATTGCCTCTTTTTGAGCCTCCATTGCTACCATAGAAGCTATGTTTTTTCTTCTAAGAATCCTCTTGAAAAATCAAAAGTTCACACAGAAATGAAAAGGCTAAGAACATGGAAAGAGAAGAGAAAAGGAATGAGAGAAGGAAATGCATAATACTTTGACAGTCTCTGATGAATGAGTTTTATCTTTTCTGTAAGGTAAGCGATTTGCATTCAAAGTTCCCTGTTTGTTTGAAGTGCCTTTTGCAGGAATGTTCTTAGACGATGAAGCAGCCTCCTTGACACTGAACTGAAGTGCTTCTGCCTTTGAAGAAGCCTCATCAAGCCGGCTTTGCAGGTTTACTGCTTGCACCT